AGGGACATGTCACAGCGTGGTGTGTTCACGGACATGTCACAGCGTGGTGCAATCAGGGATATGTCACAGCGTGGTGCGTTCAGGGACATGTCACAGCGTGGTGCGTTCAGGGACATGTCACAGCGTGGTGCGTTCAGGGACATGTCACAGTGTGGTGTGTTCAGGGACATGTCACAGAGTGGTGCAATCAGGGATATGTCACAGTGTGGTGCGTTCAGGGACATGTCACAGTGTGGTGTGTTCAGGGACATGTCACAGTGTGGTGTGTTCAGGGACATCCAGAACTCTCTCTCACCTGCAGCAGGTAAACGTCTCCGTACGAGTTGCTCAGACAGAAGACGTGTTCCCTCCTCGGGTGTTCGGGGACGGCCTGGACGATGCTGTCCTCAGCCAGAAGAGCATAATGAGGAGAAAACTCCAATTCCCCACCCCCGTCGCTTCGCCCGAACGCCTCGTAGAACAGCAGCGTGCAGCCTGGAAGGAAAGCACGGCTTCAGTCGTGAAACTCAGCAGGTGAGTTCATCACAGGTCGATTCAGAAGATCTCGGTGTGGAGCGCAACAAATCCAACACAAGTCTAGATTCAGTTTCACCTGCAGGTCCAAAGAAACTCATGCAACTGCCTCTGAGTGTGTTAGTAAAATATCTCCAGAACCACTGCACAGATTTTATTAAACAGGTTTGGATCTCCTGAATCAGCTGTGAAGAAACGAGCTCTTTGGACTGGAGAACCTTGATACTGTTCTCCTAAAACCTCAGGTAATGATGTCATCTTACACACCAAGCGGGTCAGAACCGGGTTGGTTTAAACAAAGATGATGCTCAGAGTCAGAACTTCGGACCGGTCGGAGGCTCACCCTTCAGTGTGACCCAGAACCGCCTCCACCTGCGGCGAGAAACCAGCTCCAACTTCCTGTCCTTGCTGACGGTGAGGAGAGCTTTAAAGGAGAGCCACCCGGCCCGCCGGACCACACCCTGCTCCTCCCCCAACAGAACCGCCCCTCCTCCTCCTCTTCCTCCCTCCTCTTCATCCATCTCTTCCTCCTCTTCCTCCCCCTCCGACGGCTCGGTCCGGTGGTCCACGCTGCTGCAGCCCGTCTGCAGCTCCTGCATGAAGTTCTGATAGACGTTCTGAGTTTTGCGGCCGGGACTCAGAGGGACCTGGTTCTGGTTCTGGTGGTGCAGAGGGTTGCAGGACCACAGAACGGAGCCGGTCAGTCCATTAATGAAGACGTCAGAACCGTCGCTGCCATTCGGCTCCTGCAGAGAAATCAGACAAACGGTTAATAAAAAGTTCTGAACCCGTTTTGAACCCAGAGAGCCGTTTCTAAACGTTTGATAAATCATAAATAAAGTCCTTCAAAATAAAGTGGAACTTAAATATTATTTTTATTTTTGTGTTTTGTTTTGAAAAGGTGCGTTCTCACCTGAAGTTTCCTCTTTTTTCGGCTCAGACTTCCTGTCCAGTCGCTCAGCTGTCTGATCCGGCTCTTTAGGAAGTCTTTCCTGTTGTTCCCGCAGGAGGCGGAGCTTCCAACTTCGGCTTTACGACAAGGCAGCGTGGAGG